GCCGGCCACTGCACTCCAGCCTGGGCGGCAGAGCGAGACTCTGTCTCAAAAAAAAAAAAAAAAAAAAGAAAAAGAAAAATTAAAAAGCTGAGTAGTATTCTATTATGTGTGTGTGTATGTATTTATACATCTATATTCCATTGTGTGTGTGTATATATACAAATGTATACAATACACACACACACATACACATAATTTCTTTATCAATTTGTCCATCAATGGGTATTTAGGTTGTTCCTGTATCTCGGCTATTGTAAATAATGCTGCAATGAACACGAGAGTGCAGATATCTTACTTGGTCAACTAATTTTCAACAAGGGCACCAAAAGGACACAATGGGGTCCAATAAATGGTGTTCTTCAACAAACGGTGCCGGAAAAACTGGATTTCCACATGCAAAGGAATTGGACCCCTATTTTACACAATACACAAAAATCAACTAAAAATGTATAAAAGACCTATATGTTAAGACCTGAGACTATAAAACTCCTAGAAGAGAACATAGAGGGAAAGCTTTGTCATAGTATTTTATTATTATGTGTACAGTATCTTGCTACATTTGCTACATTTCTTCCTCTACAAGATGTATCCTTTGTCCAGTTTTTTTGTTGTTGTTGTTGTTGTTGTTTGCGTCAAGATCTCACTCTGTTGCCCAGGGTGGAGTATAGTGGCGCGATCTCAGGTAACTGCAACCTCTACTTCCTGGGCTCGCCATTCTCCAGCTTCAGCCTTTGGAGTAGCTGGGACTACAGGTGCATGCCACCACACTCGGCTAATTTTTGTATTTTTTGTAGAGACAGTGTTTCACCATGTTGCCCAGGCTGGTCTCAAACTCCTGAGCTCAAAGTGATCTGTCCACCTTGACCTCCCAAAGTATTGGGATTACAGGCATGAACCACTGTGCCTGGCCTGTACTTTAATTTATAAATAATTTTGGGGGAGTATTTCAGGAGGTTCGCCTTTTTGTTCTAATGCTTATCTTTGGATATAAACCTTTTTAAATGCTCTTAGTTCTCTGTGGGTTTTTTTGTTTTTTGTTTTTTTTTGAGACGGAGTCTCATGTTGTTGCCCAGGCTGGAGTGCAGTGGCGCGATCTCGGCTCACTGCAACCTCTGCCTCCTGGGTTTGAGCGATTCTTCTGCCTCAGCCTCCCAAGTAGCTGGGACTACAGGTGTGCGCCATCACGCCCAGCTCATTTTTGTGTGTTTTTTTTTGTTTGTTTGTTTGTTTGTTTTGAGACAGAGTCTCATTCTGTTACCCAGGCTGGAGTGCAATGGCACGATCTCAGCTCACTGCATGCTCCACCTCCCGGGTTCACGCCATTCTCCCGCCTCAGCCTCCTGAGCAGCTGGGACTACAGGCACCCGCCACCACGCCCGGTTAATTTCGTTTTTTTATTTTTAGTAGAGAGGGTTTCACCGTGTTAGCCAGGATGGTCTCAATCTCCTGACCTCGTGATCCACCCGCCTCGACCTCCCAAAGTGCTGGGATTACAGTCATGAGCCACCGAGCCCAACTAATTTTTGTATTTTTTAGTAGAGACGGGGTTTCACGACATTGGACAGGCTAGTCTCAAACTCCTAACCTTGTGACTCACCCGCCTCAGCCTCCCAAAGTGCTGGGATTACAAGTGTGAGCCACCACACCCAGGCAGTTCGCTGTTTTTAAATTTAATCTTCTGCTATTTGGTTTCTCAGTTTTAACTGGTATTATTTTGTTTTTCTTCTTCAGGCACTCCAACAACCTGAATGTTATTTCTTCTCTGCCTTCAGTTTGCACTACCTTCTCTCTAACTCTTCTGAGTTGTTTCTTTATCTCATTTTCATTCTCTCCAGGTTTTTTCCTTGTCCTTATTCAATGACTTCTATTAAATTTTCACTTAAGTCTATTCTCCTTTGTGCACCTTATAACATATTCTTCAATTCTGAGATAATTTTGTCTTTTCCTTCTATTTCTTTCCTGAGTTCAATCAATTCTGATTTCCTTTCTTCCTCTCCCAATAAGGTCTGAACCTCAGCCCTTGAGTAGGGGTGGGACAGCTCTTGCTTGGAGGTTTAATCTCACTCAGTCCTAGGCATCGTGGCTAGACCTTGTATCTGCTTTCCTGTATCTGTATTCTGTACATTTGTCTTTATTTCTTATTAATCAATCCCAAGTTATTCCAATTCCCTATTATTGACTATTATTAACTATAGTTAACAATATCTTATGTAGGCTGGGCACGGTGGCTCATGCCTGTGATCCCAGCACTTTGGGAGGCCAAGGCAGGTGGATCACCTGAGGTCAGGAGTTCAAGGCCAGCCTGCCCAACATGGTGAAACCTCATCTCTACTAAACATACAAAAATGAGTGTGGTGGCGCACCCCTGTAATTCCAGCTACTCGGAAGGCTGAGGCAGGAGAATGGCTTGAACTCGAGAGGTGGAGGTGGCAGTGAGCCTAGATTGCGCCATTGCACTCCAGCCTGGGTGATTGAGTGAGATTCTGTCACAAAAAAAACAAACCAACAAACAAAAATACTCACGTATATTTCAAAATAGCTAGAAGGTTTGAAAAGTTCCCAACACAAAGAAATGATAGATGTTTGAGGTAATGGATATCCTAATGACCCTGATTTGATCATAACACATTGCATGTATGTATTAAAATATTCCATGTATCCCATATATATGTACAATTATTGTGTAATACTAAAAATTTTAAATAATTCTTTAATTTTTTTCCTATTCAAATTACTGTGTAGTTTCTGTCTCCTGACTGGACCCAAATTGATACATCTTTTTTCCTCTACCACTCTACTAACGAAGCACACTTCTCCCTTTATTTTCTTTCAAATTATGCATATTTTTACTTCCCTGAAATTCATCATCTGATCTATCAGGACACTTTTTAGTATTTTCCTTATTAGCATGGGTTTAGTCTTTCTAGCACTGGTTTTATTTATTTATTTTTGGATCGAAAGACACCTGGAGTATGGCATTGGTTTTAGATCAACCTTACGTCCCATTGCTAATTTCCGTCTTCCCCACAGTTTTTCTTGATCTGTCTTTATAAAGTCTTCTGGCAGGGGTAGGTGAGGCAAGAGCATGAAAGATACTGCACTAGGATTTGTGGTCTCATATTTTCCTTTTTATTTACAGTTATTTTGAAGCTTGGACATCTTCTACAAGTTATGCTGAGGACATGGTTTTTCTGCGTAGCTGTAGTTTTCTTTCTTTGCTGTTCTGTGTTATTTTGGAGGAAACATTGGAAGATGGGAACATAAACTGCCTTCATTGTCTTTAGGTCCCTGATGTGCTATCACCTGAATTTTTGCAAGTTTGAGACTTATTTCTAACAACAATCAAAGGGGAAGGACAAAAACACTAGAACAAAATTTCTGGACTGGCTCCAGCTCTGCCACTAATATTTACCTAAAGTTGGATTTACTTCAGTGTTAGAATTATTTCCTCACTTGTAAGATAGGGTGGCTGGACTAGGGCAGTGGCTCCCAAACTCTGATAAGCATGAGAAGTATGTGATGCATACGGACTTCTGTGCCCCACCTCTAGGCATTCTGATTCAACAGGTCTGGGGCAGGTCCCAGGAACAGGTGTTTTTAAAAAACATCTGCTTAGACAAGATAGTCAGTGATACTATTCAGTTACGTGAGTCTACGAAAACTCTTCCGATGATTCAACAAGTTCTAGAGATCCCATCTTTCAGTATAAAAATCAGAGCTGGACACAAGGGTGCATGTCTGTAGTCTAGAGAGGTTGAGGCAGGAGGATTGCTTCAGCCCGGGAATCTGAGGCCACAGTGCACTATGACTGTGTCTACAAATAGCCACTGCACTCCAGCCTGGGTGACATAGCCAGACTCCATCTCTTAAAAAAAAAAAAAAAAAAAAAAAAAAAAAAAAAAAATCAGGCCGGTGCAGTGCTTCATGCCTGTAATCCCAGCACTTTGGAAGGACGAGGCAGGCAGATCACTTGAGGTCAGGAGTTTGAGACCAGCCTGATCAGCATAGTGAAACCCCATCTCTACTAAAAATACAAAATTAGCCAGGTGTGGTGGCAAAGGCCTGTAATCCCAGCTACTTGGGAGGCTGAGGTAGAAGAATCGCTTGAACCTGGGAGGCGGAGGTTGCAGTGAGCCGAGATCACGCCATTGCACTCCAGCCTGGGCAACAAGAACGAAACTCCACGTTAAAAAAGTAAAAAAAATAAAAATAAAAGCAATGGATTAGTGGTATAATATCCCAATTAACTTAAATTGTATGACAATTTGTCCCTGTTCACTTTCTTTTCCCCAGAGAAGGGTCCCACTCTGTTGCATGGCCTAGAGTGTAGTGGCACAGCCACAGCTCACTGCAGCCTCTAACTCCCGGGCTCAAGTGATCCTTCTGCATCAGTATTTCAGGTATTTACTTTTTTTTTTTTTTTTTTTTTGACCAAAAGGTTTGAAACAACCAAAGCAGGTAAAAAAATTGGAAGAAAAAAAAAAAAAAAAGACAAAATAAAAGATAAAAGGAAACTATTTAATACATGTAGAGGAAAAAACATTAACAATAAAAAACTAAGATCACGGAAACAGATCATAACCTTTTCTTAATACATTATGAAAGTTGTTAAATCACTTTAAGAAGAACATGCTATATACTTTGTTCCCACTAAACTTTGGCACAGTATAGATATAATTGTGGCACATTCTTTTCAGGGTTCCATATATTATTTGGAAATACAACTAATGCTGGTCCTCATTTTGAAGAAAACCCATTATAAATTTGACATCAACAAGTCATATAAGCTCTAAGCTCCCATTTCACAGTATAATCTATTAGTACTATCTAAAGCAAGTAATTCCAAAGGCGTACATAAGAGCAATGTTAATTCGAGGAGATCCATAGGCTTTCCCTGATGTCTTAGCATTTGGTCATCTGAGGGAATCCGGATGAAATAAATGTTTGCAAATGTAATGCATCCAGGAAAGACACCACCAAATGATCTGTTTAGGACATACCCGATTGCAGCAGGGGTCAAGCGAGTGTGCAACTGAGGGGTGGTAGAAGTAGTGGTGGTTGTTAGGGAGCCATCATTTCCAGTCTTCTCCCAGTCAAATGGGTCACTCTCAATTACTCCAAAAGTCTTGATGCTATTGTCAAACACGGATGTAAGAAGCTAAACCACAAAGAAGAAAACTAGAGTAAGTGAACAGTAAACAGTCGCTTTATTCTATGAGAAAGCACACCAGACTCACAAAATGATTTTGTAATGTGATTTTCTTTAAAAACTGATGGTTCAAATTGAGAAATTTGAATAGGAACTATATGTGGATGATGATACTGAATTAATGTTGATTTTTCTCAGTTGTGTAGAATGTTTCTGTTTTTGAGAGATACATAATGAAGCAACATATCTATAACCTACTCTCAGATGGTTTGGCTAAAGGATATGTGTTGTTTATAAGTGTCTATGTTAGTGTACATTCAGTTGAGCCATCTATTTTATCATTTATTTGTCAAAACAAAACAAGGACATTTTTATATGTTTCAACCTAAAAAAGTAGCCAGCGTTAACAGGTGATGTGTCTAGGTAAGGGGAGTATAGAAGTTCACTGTGCTTTCCTCCATTTTTTTTTTGTAGGTTTAAAAAATTCTTAAAATATGTGTGTGCATGTTTGTGTGTCTCCATATACAAATTACCAAAACATCGCTTGATTTATATTGTTAGTTTGATATATATTCTGTATAATTTCATTTTTTGTCTTTCAATTCCTAAAGTTTGATGTGTTCTTGAGAAGGATTTCATAAAAGACCTTTATTGTTTCTGTTGGTAGGCACCATTTCCAATTTTACGATTATAGCTTCATTCTCTCCTCATCATTTCTGGAACTGTTAGTATCCTGTCCTCTGAGATTCATCTTGTGCATTTCCTACCCAGACCTGAAATCAGCACTGCTTTGGAGGATTTTACACAGGTCTGATTTAGGTTTTAAAAATATTACTCCACCAGCCTGGCGTACATGGTGAAACCCTGTCTCTATTAAAACACAAAAATTAGCTGGGTGTGGTAGTGCACGCCTGTAATCACAGCTACTCAGGAGGCTGAGGCATGAGAATTGCTTGAACCTGGGAGGCGGAGGCTGCAGTGAGCCGAGATTGTGCCACTGCACTCTAGCCTGAGTGACGGAATGAGAACATTTCTCAAGGAAAAAAAAAAAAAAAGATTACTTCAGCTATTGAGTGGTCAATAGATGCCATAAACAGGGATGGGAATGAGGGTACTTGGAAAAGATGACCAGTTAAGAGATTACTGTCAGCTAAACCAGCATGGTAACAGTAAAGGTGATAAGAACTGGACATAGATTTCTGTCCTGAGTCACTGGGTCAATGCAGTGACATGGAAAGCAGTGAGTTTAGGGAGGAATAGGAAATGCAGATATAAATTTGGGTGTCATCAGCATATAGATATCAAGAGACACCAGCCTATGGGTCCTATTTTTGTTTATGTAAGTCACCTACGTTACAACTTAGACTTCTCCAAATGTCAGAGGTAGAGGGCTGTAGAAAACACAAAGGAGGAAATAAAGATGGACTGGAACCTAGGATATGGGAATTGAAGTGCCAGACCTTTGACCCTCTCTCCTAACTCTGAAATCAAGGTTCTCATAGGCTCTCACAGAGTGAGATGCACGCTTCCTGGAAGGTGGAATCCCCATCCAGGGGAGCCTTGCTATATGAGCACTTAGACTGCCACTGCTAAATTCTCTGTCTATATTGTGCTGCAACAGAAATGATCCTAAGTGGTTTTTATGTCAGATGTCCTTTTAACATGGAATTATTTTCTTACATCTATCATAGTATTATATGTCTTAGAAAATGTATTCTATGTCACTGGACCTCAAATTAGAAACAGTTTGTTACTATGATGGTGATATTAGACACCAGCAGCAGGAGACAGAAAGACGGCGAACACAGAACAAAAGAAACAGGAAAGCTAAAAGCACTGAGGCACTTAAAGGCACCCTAGTGGGAACAAATGGTCAGACTGGGCAGAGCTCTGCAGATATTTTAGAGAAAAACATTTCTAATCTAGAAAATAATTTTCTAATTTGGGAGCAGGGTGGCGCTAAATCCTAACCTTCCTCAGACTGGAATAGTAGAAACAGGACAAGTCAAGGACTTACTTTTCTGGTAACTGAATGTGTTACATCATGTTTGGCTATGATAAATAATAAAAACAAAAAACTCTAATTCAGTTAGTCAAACAGATTCTAGAATAAAAATTACCTTGTAAGTCATCCATATAGTATATACAGTATATGTAGTGTGTGAATATATGTCTGTGTGTATATATATATGAGTGTGTCTGTTAAATTTGAATAGCTCTCATTCTTTTTTTACTTTTTATTATTTTTATTTTATTTTATTTTATTTGAGACGGAGTCTCACTATCTTGCCCAGGCTGGAGTGCAGCAGTGCGATCTCAGCTCACTGCAACCTTCGCCTCCCGGGTTCAAGCGATTCTCCTGCCTCAGCCTCCTGAGTAGCTGGGACTACAGGCACATGCCACCACGCCTGGCTAAATTTTGTATCTTTAGCCGAGATGGGGTTTCACCATGTTGGCCAGGATGGTCTGAAACTCTTGACCTCAAGTGATCCGCCCACCTTGGCCTCCCTAAGTGCTGGGATTACAGGCGTGAGACACCATGCCCGGCCTCTCCTTCTTTTTTATATCCCAATATCATTGGGGAACAAAGCACTTTCCCATCAGAACAGGGGCTCACTGTGGCAGTAATTCTCAAACTGGAAAGGGAGAAGGGAAAAACCCGAAAAAACTCTTCCAAATGATTCCAAAGCTTCCCTCTAAAAGGCATGTCCCATATCTCTTCATTGATAATCTCTGAAAATCTAGTATACATCTGACTCCTTCTTTTACTTAATATATTCTTAGAAAATACAAATTCATCTACATTTAGAGTCTAAGTTTCTCAAACTAGGGTAACAGGTACCCCCAGGGGATGCAGCCATATGCCAGAGAGAATTTAAAGAGATTTGACAATGTGGCACAGCTTCCTGGAGTATTTTACACAGAGGTATGACATTTATTATAATATTTTATAATACAATGAACACAAAGAAGTTGGAAAGCAAAATTTAAATGAACCTTTAAGATAAACCAGGAGAATACAAAGAAATTTTGGACTTATGGTTGACACTGTAAGGCTATTCCCAGACTTCTTGAGAAATACGCTTATACTTGGCTGCCAGAGGAGTAACTGATGAAACAGTGTGAGAAACACCAGAAGCAATCATCTTTGGGAAAGTGAATCTTCTGTAAATGGATGTAGGGAAGGGAGGCAGTTAAGTGAAGGGGAAGTTGTGTGAAGAGGAGGAAAAGAGGAGGGAGAACTTGAAGAAGGTAATGAACAGGCAAAAATGCTATACAGATTGAGCATCCCAAATCTGAACATCAAAAATCCGAAATATTCCAAAACACAACTTTGGGTACTGACGTGATGCTCAAATTAAACGCTCACTGGGGCATTGTGGATTTTGGATTTGGGTTGCTCCACCAATATAATGCAAAATAATACAAAATCCTAAAAAATCTGAAATCCAAAACACTTCAAATAAGGGATATTCAACCTTGTATTACTTTTTGTTTGCTTGTTTGTTTTTGAGACTCCCTGTTGCCCAGGCTGGAGTGCAGTGTTGCAATCTCTGCTCACTGCAACCTCTGCCTCCTGGATTCAAGAGATTCTCCTGCCTCACTTCCCAAGTAGCTGGGACTACAGACACATGCCACCACACCCAGCTAATTTTTTTTGTATTTTTGGTAGAGATGGGGCTTTGCCATGTTGGCCAGGCTGGTCTTGAACTCCTGACCTCAAGTGATCCTCCTGTCTCGGCCTCCCAAAGTACTGGGATTACAGGTGTGAGCCAATGCACCCAGCCCTGCATTACTTTTTATTTGGCCACTGTGTGGATTATTTGTGTCAATCCCTCTTCTACTTGCACTTATGAATAAGAAGCAGTCCATTTAAAATTTGATGGGATATTCAATACAATGATTTTTCAAAAGCAAATTATTCAAGATACAAAGTAATGAAAGTCAATTACAGCCTAGGCAACATGGTGAAACCCTGTCTCTAATAAAAATACAAGAAATTAGCCAGGTGTGGTGGTGTACACTTCTGGTCTCAGCTACTTGGGAAGCTGAGGTGGATTACTTGAGCCCGGGTAGGCAGAGTTTGGAGTGAGCTGAGATCACGCCACTGCACTCCAGCCTGGGTGACAGAGTGAGACCCTGTCTCAAAATAAATAAATAAACAATAAAAGTCAATTACTATGTCAGGATAATGAGATTCTGAGTAATGTGAATTTACTATTTTTCTATAATTCTAAAACTTTTATAATGACCACGTATTAACTTTAAATAACTAGAAAAAATCAACAAAAATATATTATTCTAAAATAAATCGACTATATACCTATACGCAGCCTACATAGATGCTTGGTGCCAGCTCCTACTACCTGAAATACCCTTACTCTTTATGGCAGTCAGTCATCTGACATACACACAATGCCTTAGTGAAGCACTCCTCTTATCCTTAGCACAAAGTGCAATCAATAGCTGTATCATATTTACCTCCATGTGAAACCCCAGTTTGCCCTTTCAAAGAGAGTGTAGACCAAGTCCAGCTTTTGCAAAACCAAGAATTATGTGTAAGGTGATATTAAGAACTCACTAACAATCCTGATTCCTGAATTCTCAGTTAATAAATTGTAAATTAGTGGATCAATAAAGCACTTAAGCAGAGGAGCACAATGGCAATGTTGGCTTGGCTAATTCAAAGGCAGATTATTTACTACAAAAGAAATTTGCCCTACTTCAGTGACAAGTAGATGCAATAGTGGGAAAGAAATGCACACATTCTTTTTTCTTTTTTTTGGCAGAACTACCTGAGGTTTTATTTTAGATCGAAAAAAAAAAAAAAAAAAGCAATTGAATTGTTTTGTAGCTGGAGGCATGGGCAAGCGGGGTCCCCAGGTAGTAAACTCCCACACGGATGGCTGAGGGCTAGGGCGGAGCCTCAGGCGGGTCTCCCATTCCCTGTGTTAACCTGCACAGTGGCCTCCCTCCTGGGGTTCTGCGGCAGCCGCCGCGGGAGGGGC